TTGTAACTAGAGTATTTCTTTTCCATGTCTGTGCTCTTTTTACTCATGAAATAGGTAGGGTGGAAACTATTATCGTTTGGAGACCTCTGCATTAAAATTGCTCCATATCCCTCTAAGCTAGCGTCAGTGTGCAATTCAGTCTCATAATTGGGGTTATAGATTCCTAAGACAGGCTTTTCAGCTAATAATGACTTTAACAGATTGAAAGAATTTCTTTCCTCCTTCGCAAATTTAAATTTACGATCTTTTTTTAAAGAGATCACTTAAAGGCTTAGCAATAATGGAAAATTATAAATTTCCTGAAATATCCGGTGAGTCCAAAAACACTATGAATTGGTTTCAAATTAGTCGGTTATGGAAAATTAAAGACCGCTTTTGTTTTTAAAGTAGATGGAAAAATTCTACCTTCTTTGATAACATGACCCAAGAATTCGATTTGCTTTTTCAAAAAATGAGATTTTTTAAAATTAATCTCGAGTCCGTATTTGCTAGCAAGCTTTAAGACCCGTTCGAGCCATTCGATGCTTTCTTCAAGGGAGGATGACAAGATTATTACGTTATCTATTTATGGCAAAACAATACCATCATTAATTAAAGCTAAAAAAATGGTGTTGATTTACCTTTGAAATACAGCTGGAGAATTGCATAGACCAAAAGGAACTTTGAGAAATTGCTATTGACCTCCGTGTGTTACAAATGATGTATACTTCCTGCTATCCTTGCTTCCATCAACATGGAAAAACCCATTTTTAAGATCAATTGTACTAAACACATGTGATCCCTGTAACCAGTCTAAAATATCTTCAATTAATGGAAGTGGAAACCTGTCTTTTTACTATTACTTTATTCAATCTCCTATAATCAATACATAAATGAGGTGTTCTGTCTTTTTTTAAGGATTACAACTGGGCTACAATATTCTGAAGAACTAGGTTCTACTATTCCTTGTGCTAACCATTCAGCTACTTGAGCTTCAACAATTCTGTTTTCTGAAAACAGCAACCTACGAGTCTGATGAAATATAGGTTCATTATCTTTTACCGAAAGGTTCATTTCTATGTTTGTTGTTTTAGTTTTACATGGTACAGAACTCGAAACTAATTGTTGCACCTTATCTCTGAAAATATATAGAACATCAGATTTAATATTTACTTCGGTTTCCTCACAAATTAAATCAATCGGAAGAATAAAAGAAGTATTTATTTCTTTTATGCACTGAGATTTTTTTCCTAATCATAACTGCATTTTCATTTATTAGAGTTTCACCCTGCATTAACACATTAAGTCCTATGATGACATCACAAGGCATAACATCATTCTCCACTACAAAAATGTCAGCATTACACTTAAAGTTATCAATTTAGATATATTCTTTAAAACAGCCTAATGGTTCTACTCGGCATTTTCCAAACCCCATGAAAGTAGAATTCAAAGGATGTAATTCTTCAACATTTAATTTATCAAAAACAGATTTTCTAAGCAATGTTGCTTGATTTTCTAAGCAATGTTGCTTGATAGGTCTATTAATGATTTTAATGTTAAATTACCAATCATTATCATTGTTCAATTTTGATTCAAAATTGACATTTAAAGTGGCTAGTTCTGTTTTCGAATTTCTTTTAGAACATTCCGAAGCTTTATGACCAAACGCTTCACATTTAAAACATTGAATTCCCTTATCTTTATGAATACGGTTTATAGAAATATGACTTGTCAAACCACAATTAAAACAAATTTTATTGTTATGATTTTCAGTATATTTCATAACAGATTTACCATCATTCTTCAATTTACTTTTAGTCATATTTACGTTTTTTGAGTTAGTTTTATCGTTAAAATCATGTTTTGTTTTTGTTCTATCGAAAGCACCTTTATTTTTTGCAAAATCGCCTTTCATTACTTCGTACACTTTGAGTTTTTTTTTAAATTTGGTTAAGTTTGTACATTCATACAATATAATTTAGTTTCCGTGCCTACCATTTATTCCATTTGATTGTACAACTTCGTGTCTGCTTTAAAGGGCGTTTAAGCTGTCAATTATCTATTTTTTGTGGTTAATCTTGTTATTTAAGCATGGGTACCAAAGCAAAATGCAAAATCCTTGTTAAAAATGGAAAAAAAAAAAAAAAAAAATTGGGCTCTTGATATGCTCTCAGAATGGTGCATTGAAAGTAATAAATGACTTGAAATACTGAAAATAATGTGGCTGAATTTGACATATTGAAAATAATGTGACTGAATTTGGAGAAGAATGTTGTCCAGTCTTTTTTGCTGTCCTGTCATCCACCCTTTCCAGACCTGAAGTACAGAAGTTACTCTTAACAGTACAAGGGACTTTAATTATTTAAAGGTGACTTTTGGCATAAATTAAACTGGAAGTCTCATATTCAGTCAGTCTCAAGTCACTTTTTGAGTAGAGTGATTGTTTAAAGCAATGAGCTAGATCCCTTTGGGGATGCAATAGATCAACTTTAAACACTATTTATAACACTGTTTATCCTGCCTTTAATTACTTATTGCCATGAATCACTTATTTTGCAGGTAATCAAGTTTTAAGAAAATTGGTGCTTTCACAAAATCAGGGTCTAAGCCTCATTACTGGGGCCGTCAAATTAACACCGATTGGTGCTGTTCTTTTGTTGACAAAAAATAAACCCATTAAAATTATCATTGGAAAAAAACACTGTTTCTTTCTGAAAAATTAATTAGATCTGGAAATCATTACTTGATTAATTATACAACAAACATTGAATATTTAAAAACACAAAATTGTTTTGTTCTGTTTGTCCGGGATGTTAAATGAAATTTTGAGCTGCCAGTTAATGAATGGTTTACTAAGTCATTTACTTGAAGTTGTAAATATTGATCTCGTGAATCACATTTCAAAAGAAACAACTCTAAAAATGTTTGAGGATATAGTGGAATTATTAGAGCTGCTTTTGGTATTTGAATTTTGACATTCCACTAGATGGCTATCTGATATCTTGTGCCCCCGAAATCCAATATATTTGCTATAGTTTCAGTTCTGTTTAAAGATTCATCTCTTAGACACATTATTATTTTTTTCTCTTTAAGAAATATATTAATTTAATTTTATGTTGCTTTTAAGTGATCTAAGTCATCTTTTAACTAAAACTCTCTCCCCTTCTCCTTCCCGTTTTAGTTACATGATAGCAACCATTGTTAAAGCGGTTGTATTAATAAAATTTGAAAACTGGCAACGTTTAATTGTTGTCATTTGCAAACTAATGGAATTACTAGATTAATAACATTAATTTATATCTGAGGAAATAGTGTCTCTCATTAAAAGTTTTTTATTTTTTTATTTTTTCTTCTTTTACCCAAAAATTTAAGTTGTAACTTTCACAGTTTGTTTGGAAAATCCAGTTTGATATTTCAGTGTCTGATGCAAAGTATAAAATTCTCTAATATCTCGAATATGGTTGAAAGACATAAGCCCTCTATTGGTCTGGTGGTCACACTTCATGAAATTCTGTCGTAAATTTTTAAAAGACGTGGCAGATCAAACATACAAAAAAAACTTCTGTCCATTAAAACAGAAGAATGGTTTTGCAAATTCCACTCTTAGAATGCTAAACAATTTATAATTATTTCCCCTCTGGTCATAAACTAGAACGTTAACTGTAGCATCAGCATACGGCAACTTTTATTATTTCTCGGAAGTCTCTCTAGATTCATTTCATGGCTGAAAAAATAAAATCCAAATGGTAGCTTTTTTTCTCAAACTTCTCACCATTAGTGCCAGTACATAATTGGCAAATGAATCGCTGCAAAAACCACCAGATCCTCAAACCCAACCACATGATCTTTTTGTCTGTCATATACCAGAGAAGATTTCAAGGATATTTCATCAAATATTAATGAAAACATTTTTTTTTATGATTTTCTTTATTTTGTAGTACTTGTTTCAATGCAGATATGACATCTGCACTGATCCCTGTAGATGAGAGCTTTTATGATACATAATGCTGGAGTTCATTCAACTGGAAGCTTAAGAAATTCTTTCAAAACATGATATGCTGCTGTATTTTTACTGTAGATGTGATAGGCATCAGTTTCGTCAGAATGTGTAAAATGCCTGTTTTTGATTTTTGGGTGTTTATTATTACTTGCAGCTGATTGAAACAAGATAGTTTTTTTGCTAACCACTTTTGCTAACCACTTGTCCGAAAAGTGTTTTTTCAGCACTAAGTTGGTGACGTTTTGGTCCAATCTGTGTGTAACTGGTCTAATTCCTATGTAGTAACTGTAACTGTGTATGTCTTCCAGCAATTTCAAGTAATATCTTGGTGGAGGGAGGAAAACTGTGTAAGACCAGAGAGAGCATCAGTTTAGCTGAATTCATAGTTTAGCTCAGAATACTGAGAGATCACTAAGCAGGTTTACACATTTTAAGCTTTTTATATTTTCTTTTGTTTAATTTTCTTAGTAGTTTGAAGTGGTAACTACTATTGATTGTGCTCCATCATATTGAGAAAAGCTGCATAACTGTAAAGCGTTTCTTTGGAAAAAGTAAATTTTATCAAGCTGTCATTGATCCTGCATGCATTCATTCCATCATGAATTCATATGCAAGTAGCAGTATGGATACACAAACAAAGGCAGATAGACTGTTTATGTCATAGATCATTGAGATCTTTTGTATGATGTCCATTCAGCAAGAATGTGAGCTATGAAAATAGTTTAAAGGATGGTCTATAACTGAATTCAGTATATTAAGTTTTGTAAGGACAATTTTCATAACCTGCTGTTAACATTTAATCGTACGATACAATAAATCATGCCATATAATTAACATTTAATTATGATTTGATTGAATTTTTTTCCACTTTAAATGTAGTAGTGTTCATTTGGAGACATAAAATAGTTACTGTGAAGCATAATTTGGCCCTTAAATTATGCTTAAACTTTTCTTTTATCAGTGAAGTTATAAAAAAAAGTAATGCTTTCTGAGTATTAATTTCAATTTTTTTTGGCAGCTAAAATACAAGAAAAAATATGCCTTATCAGAGGAAGATGTTAGAAGAGTTATCTGGGAGAAAAATGTGCGTCACGTTTCACAGCATAACTTGGAAGCAGATTTTGGACTGCATAAATATAGATTGAAAGTTAATTTTTTTTCTGATAAGGTAGGTAGGAATCATTACTCTAAGACACACTGGGCAAACTGAGGATAAATGCACACTTTTGTATAATCCATATATTTCTTAAAATAGTTTACCTTTTTTATCTTTTTTGATGAGCAAATTTGATTTTATAATAAATTTTGAATTTGTCAGTTTATGAACTTTCTTGTAACTTCTTATTATATTCAAATCATGGTAAAATTTTATTTATTATCCATTCATAGATCATTAAGTTGAAATTGATTGTTTGAACTACAGTTTAAGAGTATAGATCTGCAATGTGATAAAGAGGTTATATACCGTAATTTCCAGAAGAAACACCGCGGCGTTTACATATTTAAAACTTAAATTTTCAGCGGGTGCGGCGTTTCTACCCATGTGGTGTTTAGGTGCACTAAAAATAAAATATTTCCTATGATGGTCATTGTACATAGTTTGGATGGCCTTGTCATTGTGCATAGACTGGTGCTGTTCCCACACAAAAGACCACTCAGTTGCTTTTTGTGAACGTTATTTTGTTTGCATTCTTTCCCTTGAACGGACCTACATGCCTTATTCACCCTAAACGAGATCTCAGAACAATAACATTTTCCCCCTTTCAAATGAATCTTCCAGGACCCAACCTCTCCCCACTCCTGCCTTTTCTGCATTTTTTTCAAAGGCGGATACGACTCCACCTGCCTCGCAATAACGAACTCTGACGTAGTTCCCCTTCAGCATGAATGGATTTTTCTTGGCATTCTGCCAAATACAGATCCCATCAGTTTGGGTACAAGTACTTGTTGGATAGTTTTTAAGTAAGAAGGGAGCGGAAAATTTTTGAAAATGTCTCTAAACAGCACAGAAGCTATACATTTCTTACCTTTAATTTATTTTTGAGTTATGGTTTCATTTCATGCATTTTTCTTAACTGGTATGTCATATATCAGGACTTAGGTTGAGTTTTTGCATCTATATGGCCCACGACGATGTCACGCACAATTTAATCTATTGCGGCGTTTCTGTGTAATTTTAATTTTTTTCCCGCCATTTTTCTCGAGTGCGGCGTTTACGCTGATGCGGCCTTTCTTCCGTAAATTACGGTATGTGTAGATGGATTAAAACAAAATTGCATGCATCAGCATTTGAAAAGTAATCATTGTGGAGGTAATACTCTATCCCCAAAGTGTAGACAGATAGCACTAATTTTCTAGCAGCAGTTGTGTGGAAACATAGTGTAAGTTCACAGATGCTACAGAGTGATTGAAATGTCAAAACATTTAGAAAAGTGGTCTTGCATGAAGGTGTGAGCCATGATTCGTTATTCGGATTGAGCATCTGGAGTGTAGCCATATCATTATTGCCAGTCGGTATTGTGCCCCTTTGACAAGGTTACATGAAGCTATCTGACCCAAGTGCCCTAGCATGTTGAGTGATGGTGTCATTCTTCTGCCTGACAGTGGCCAGCTCCATACTACTTTTCAAACTCAAGTATTGTTGCAAAAGTGGGAAGTCTGGAGTCAACCCCTGTATAGTCGAAATTGAGCACCCAGTGATTATTTCCTTTTTCCGAAATTGAAGGAACATTTATTAGGAATGAGGTTCTCTTCAGACAGTGATGTAAAGACAGTTACTGAGTACAAGCTCAATGATGATGTGATTTCTAACAATCCGAGTTAAACACGTTGGTAGTACATTCAGATAAATGCCTAACTCGGTTTGGTGATTATGTGGAAAAATGATAGGAAAGTTTCCCCCTTATATTTTTTTGCTATTATTAATTAATAAGTTTTTTATTACGCTTGTAACTTTTTTTTGATCCATTAAATTGTTGATTGTTAAAAAGAAAAGTTATTGTTTTGCCAGATATCACTTTTCATTACATAAGAATTTATATCCAAAATATACTGTTTTATTTGCAGCTATCCCTTTTTTTAATGCATAATGTGGTCCTTCAATTAAAAAAAAATCTCCTCACCCTTGCTCTAAGAGAAAGCTTATTTATTTTATATAAATGACTTTTTCTGAGCTTTGCTTTTCATACACATAAATGACATTTAAATACAACATGGCATGTATCTGCTTGTAATGAAAGTTTTCTGCCAAAAAAACGTTTTCTTATAAAGTTAGGAGGGAAAAAAAAATGAAAGCAGTACCTTTAGTGCAGACAGGAATCACCACCCAAAACTATGATTTTTCTGCCATTTTCAAAGCCTTTGGACCAGAAACTTGGTGGCCGCAAGTCCAAACACAAATCTTCATTTCAGACATCCTGTGCAGAATGAAAGATAGCACCATCAAGATGTAGGCTTGAAAAAAGGCAGAAGTCCAAAGAAGTGATGTTGTGGGGCTATATGGTGTGTGTGGCAAAAGATCGCATCCGAATGCCTGCAGAGCCTAGCCGGTGAATGCAAGACATACGTGGTCTTGCATTATCTTAAAGAACATTACCTTTTTGTGCAGGAACTCAGTTCGACATTTTACCATGATAGCAGTGTCAACATGGACTATCATCTCGCTGTGCACCTTACTGTCAAGGGTTTTACCATTTTCAAGATATCTTTGTGGGTAAATACCATGGCAATCTCACCAGATGCAAAGCATGATCTTTTTGGTTATTCAAATTTTGCTTTGCAAAAGTGCCGACGGGTTCACCAGGCACAGACCAACTCTCCTTTTTGGCCTGTGTTTTTGAAGTAAATCCACTTATCATCACAAGTGATGATCCAGTCTAGAATTTTGTGCTTGGGTTGATATTTGAGTGGAATAGTGCTGGCCCGAACGTGTCTGTCTATATTTGCTTGAGTCTTCTCATGTGGCACCCAGTGATTGAACTTTTACATCCATGCATAGTGCGACTATTTTTTAGCAAGCTCTTGAGTGGTTGCATACTGGTCTTCCACAAGTTCTCGCAAGGAAGCCTCATCAATATCAATAGGCCGGTCATCAATAGGCCTATACACATGGTTTGGTGACATTCTGTCGCTGACTTTTTGCGACAGAACTGGAAGTAAATGATGGTTCTAATCTGGTAGTTGATAGTCTTGAGATATACTCATTAGTTGAGTCTACTTTGAAAATATAGAAGTTATCAAGAACAAACTACACAAGAAGTTACATGGTGTCAGGAGCAAAATGGATTTCAGACCACCTGCTCCTCTAACATTTTCCGTCGGAAATATTAAAGAAAAATGGAAAAAATGGAAGCAAGAGCTGGAAAACAATTTACTTGCAACGGAAAAAGATGCCAAGCCAGATAAGACTAAAATTGCAATCCTTTTGAATTTACTCGGTACTGAAGGACTCGAAATTTATAACACGTTTCGATTTGAGCCACCTGAGAATAAGGAGAAGTACGAAGAGGTCTTGAAGTCTTATGAAGATTATCGTTCACCACGGCAGAATGTCGTATATGAACGTTACAAATTCTTTTCGTGTAGCCAGCAAGGAGGACAAACAATTGAATGTTATGTCACTCGGTTAAAGACTTTAGCGTCAACTTTGAGTTTGCTGAACAAGAAAATGGATTGATTCGCGACTGTATTGTATTAGGCATTCGGGATAGGAGTCTGACCAAATGTTTGCTTCGAGAATCTAACCTAGGATTAGATAGAAATAGTCCGTGCTGCTGAAACAAGCAAAGAGCAACTCCGGAACATGAAAGATGATCCAGCGACTGTGAACAGCATGAAGAAATATAGAGAACAGCAGCATCAATGAAAACAGTCAGTGTCACCGAAATTATCGTCACAGCAGAAGCAATCAGCACTAGAATATGACTGCAAGAAGTGCGGAAGGAGGCACAAATATCGGGACTGTCCAGCTTTTGGAAAGACGTGTGCGAAATGCAAAGTAAAGAACCATTTTGCAGCGAGGTGTCCCAAGAACATTTGTGAAGTTGGAATACCAAATAATGAACATAGTGTATTTGTTGACTCTGTAATGATAAATCCACCAGTAAACGGGCATAGTGAATTTAAAATAAGTGCAAAATCAATCAAAGATTAACAAATTCTATTGATGAAGTAAATAAGGATATTCACAAGGTAAGTGAAACATGGGTGAAAAGTATTACAATGTATGTAAATAATAAGTCTTTCAAGGTTGATTTTAAGTTAGATACTGGTGCAGAAGTAAATATTTTTGCCTTTGTATGTTTTAAATAATGTTAAACTTAAGCCTAAACTTAATGAAACTAATTTATTCTTAACTGCATATGGTAATTTTAAGTTAAAACCAGAAGGTACTCTTATAATTAATTGTTCAACTGAAAGGCTTAAGAATGTACCTTTACAGTTTTATGTTCTTGATGTAAGATCTAAGCCTATATTAGGGTTAACAGCTTGTTCTGCATTAAAGCTAATTGAAAGGATTGATTCCTTAAAGTGCAATATCATTAATAAAAATGATTTAATTGCTCAGTATAAAGATGCATTTACAGGTACAGGGCAATTTCCTGATGAACCATATCATATAACTCTTAAAGATGATGCAATACCAGTAATACACCCCCAAGATGTATTCCTCAGGCTTTATGGCCTAAATTAAAAGATACTTTAGATAAACTTGAAAGAGAAGGGATAGTATCGAAACTAAAGAAACCAACTGATTGGGTTCAAAGTTTGGTTATAGTTGAAAAGCCTAATGGGAGTCTGAGATTATGTTTAGATCCTAGAGATCTAAATAAAGTAATTAAAAGGGAACGCTATCAAATTCCTTCTCCAGATGATATAATTAGTAGGTTAGAAGGTAAAAAAGTATTTTCAGTTGTAGATTTAAAAGATTGATTTTGGCATGTACGACTAGATGAAGCTAGTTCTGAACTATGTACATTTAATACTCCTTATGGAAAATATAAATTCAAGAAAATGCCATTTGGAATATCCTCTGCCCCAGAAATATTTCAGAAAAGAAACCAAAAATTATTTGGTGTAATATTGAGGGTGTGGAAGTTTATTTTGAATGAATATCATAATTGCAGGATCTGATGAAGGTTACTCATGATATAATTATCTCTAAAGGTT